TCAATGTGATGCTGTGGCTAGTAAAGCGACCAAAACACTGGCTTGCATCCGTAAATGCTTTTCAAGCAAATCCCAGGACATCATTCTCCCCTTCTACTCAGCCTTGGTGAGGCCGCAGCTGGAGTACTGCATCCAGTTTTGGGCCCCACAATTCAAAAAGGATGTGGAGAAACTTGAGAGAGTCCAGAGAAGAGCCACGCGCATGATCAGAGGTCAGGAAAACAGACCTTATGACGACAGGCTGAGAGCTAGGGGGGTCTTTAGCCTGGAAAAGCGCAGGCTCAGGGGTGATCTGATGGCACCCTATAAATTTATCAGGGGTGACCACCAGTATCTGGGGGAACGTTTGTTCACCAGAGCGCACAAGGGATGACAAGGTTGAACAGTTATAAACTACTGCAAGACCGTTTCAGGCTGGACATAAGGAAGAATTTCTTTACTGTCCGAGCCCCCAAGGTCTGGAACAGCCTGCCATTGGGGGTGGTTCAAGCACCTACATTGAACACCTTCAAGAGTAAATAGGATGCTTTTCTTGCTGGGATCCTATGACCCCAGCTGACTTCCTTTCCTTCGGGCAGGGGGCTGGACTCGATGATCTTCCGAGGTCCCTTCCAGCCCTAATGTCTATGAAATCTATGAAATCCCTAAAGGTAAATATTCATCAAAGAATGACTTTATTATTTACCTCTTGGTTCAGTAACTCTTCATATTTTAAATCTTTGTTTTTATTGAGGAAGGCAATTCCTGTTTGTCATTTAAGGGGTTGTTTACCTGAATTTTGTTTTCATATTTTTAAAAACTCCTGTATAAGTACATTTCACAGCAGACAAGTGATGTGAAATCATTTAATCCAGCAGGATGAAACAGTAACATATGAAAATACCTACTATACAGAGGTGTAGATCGTATCCATGTTGGTCTAAGGACATAGGCAGACAAAATTCTTTGGGTGAATCTGATATCTTTTATTAGACCAACTTAAATAGTTGGAAAAATTTTTCTTAGCAAGCTTTCGGGGTAAAAACCCTTTGTCAGGCTGAGGAAACTGTAGATGCTTCCTCAGCCTGATGAAGGGTTTTTAAACCCAAAAGCTTGCTAAGAAATTTTTTTCCAGCTATTTAAGTTGGTCTAATAAAAGATATCAGATTCACCCAAAGAACCTTGTCTGCCTACTGTACAGAGAGGTGCATACTATCTTTTCAATACCATATATTTGTTCATGCTATAAATTTACAGTATTAGAACAGTGTTTAAATCCTTATGCAATTACATTATTTAAAACCTTCTACAATCAATTTCCAAGTATCGCATTTCTTGTTTATAGCCAATAGAGATCCTATAGTGAAAATTCTTGGTCCTGGATATGGAACTGTTGAGGGAGAAGATATGTCCATGCTGCGCTTGCTGGAAAAAGTGAAGAAAGATGATGATCCTGAAACAGAGATTAAAATGAAAATCTCTCTTCTTCTTCAACAGCTGGATATGCAATTGCTTAACAGTTCTTTAAAACATATTTCACGGTAAGTGCATTTCAAATGGAGCTTTGTGCATTTTTAGCCAGTAGATTTTTGTTTTGTTTTTAAATTAAATTCATTTTAACCCAAAACATATGCTTTCTGTGTGATATAAAGAAATCACTGAAGTAAAAACAAAGGTATGAAAATAATCTTTATTAAAACCAGGAAAAGTTACAGAAATGAAAGATATTTTCTAGAGATTTCACTATGTATGTATATGTGTTTCCATATCTGCAAGTGCTTCACATGTTTTATACTTTGAAAGAAACTCAAAATACCTTGTATAAATAATTGTAATTAAAACATTTTCATAGAGTTGTTTATTTAATAGTGGAAAACCATAAGATTACATTTAATTTGCCAATTAGTAGTACGAATTACATCTTAACTATAAAACTAAAAGTTCACTAAACTAAAATGGGAAGCAGGCCCATTTCTAGATTTTTATTCCTACAGCTCAGAAACTCATTTTACAAGGAGAGAAACAAAATCCCATTATATCACCTTCTAAATATTTTTAAATATTCTTTTTGTTTGTTAGTTTTTAGAACATTTTTTGTTACTTACAGAGAGGTGAGATTAACTCCAACTTCTGTAAAAAATGAGGTGGATCTACTCAAGCATTTCTCTGGGAAAGGAGAAGATACAGTACTGGAATCTCTTGAATATACATCAGGTTCAGATTCTACTATTGATGTTTTACATTTATCTTTACCCTTTAAACATGAAAAATTGGATTTTACTATGAATACGTTAAACTAAGTTTAGTAGTTCTGATTTAAAGTATATTTAAAAAATAAGGAGAACAAGATGTACCTATAGATATAAAGTGTGAGTCTTCAACTTTTACTTAAATATGTAATCCTTATTTATAAATAGTCCCACTGAAATTAATGGAAGTAATTAAGGACCTGATCCTTAAAGTGTTGAACCTATGCTTAAGTGCATTGTTAGATCAGGCCAGACCATTTCGAATATTACAAAATCAAATCATGAATGAATATGAATTATTCACATGAGGAAGGGTGTGGGTTTGGGACCTTCATGTGTATGAATGTTATCATTTAAAATCTGTTCAAGCCTAACTATTACAAATCACTACATCTTTCTAAAAGCAGATGAAAACACTGTCTGTAATTGGTTTCAGATTATGAATTTTCCAATGGGTGCCGAGCCCCACCTTGGAGACAAGTACATGGAGAAATTTGTTATTTGATTGTTAAACCACATGACACCAATCCTTTGTTCATCACTTGCAGCACAGCAGGCGTGTTTCTAAATGGGGTAAGCAATAATAAAAGCTTTTACCTGGAATTATAGACAATTGTGCATGTGATGAAATGGAAGATTTAAAGTAGCAGTATTTACCCTTTAAGTCCTGCAGAGTTATGCTAATGACAGTGCAGAGAAAGACAAAACATTCAAGTCATTGTATTCTCTCTTTTTTATTTGAATGCATGTATTGTTTTGTGGTATGTGCATATGTTCCAGGCACCCAAGATTTGAGATTTTTGTTAGTTGTTGTCTGCTTTGATCCATGAGTGTGTGCCCTAAACCTCCAAGTGTATTCTTCTAGTGGTATAAAAAGTGGTATAAAATGCAATGTGAAACCACTCCAATTCTCTTTTGGGTCCTGACTGAGATAAAGGATCAATAACCATCTTAGTACCACTGTCCACAACTACCTTCACTTGATATATTTTCTTTATAACTTATAAACAGTTTTTTCTGCTTGTTATATTTGGTTTTTAATATAGGGTTAGAGGGTCTGTGATAGCTTGTGGGGGGAAATAAGGACATTCTCCCCCCGCTTTTCTATTCTCTTTTTGTTGCTTCCTTCTTTAAAAATGGGATTGTTTTATACCTAAATAAAAGCATTTAAATCTATTAGTGCTCCTTTCTTTTAAATGGTGACCTTGACACCTGTTTTGGGGAGCCTTGTAATCCCCTAAAGTGCAACATCCTCAAGTTACTTTACACAAGAGTTAAAAAAATTGAAGGAAATTCAAATAGGAAACTAGGAATCTTTGGCTTCGTTAGGTGCCAGTGAATGTTCCCTCAAGCCACTGTCAAAGAAACCCTGCTCTCGCAGGTGAGATAGTAAGAGATGTGCCTATTTGTCTGGGAAGGTAAAGAAGGGTAATTTGCTTTGCCAATCCTCTTCAAAAAAGACGGTCTATTTCCCTGTGCTGCTCTAAGCCTCATTACAGATACCTGGGAAACAGGTCGCAGATTTAGGACCTTTGGTGTGCACTAATATGGTGTCATTGGTCTGGGTACAGTGAGGACTGCCTCTATACTTCTCGCTGTTTTACCAGTTCAGTTCATAGTAACAGGTGATTTAACAGTTGCCAGTCAAACAGAATCCTCTTTCCTCTCTGGAGGTATTCATCTGGTACTGAGATGAAAGACTTGCACCTCCATATTTATCTCCAGGACTGTCTATGAGCCAGAGAAGAGTTTTACCTACCCCTGTATCTATGGCTCCTCTGTTATACTCAGGTGTTTTACTCTTCATTTGCCTCACCAGTTAGTGACAGACTAATCTCTCTTTTCTAACATGCTCTCCTCAGCTAAGTCCAGAGGTGAGACCTAGAATGTCATACCATTCTAGGCATACAGAATGCCTTTAAGGACTGCTTACAAGTCCTTTATGTTGTGGTTTGCTTCCATCTGGGGTCTGCCTTCATTCACTTATACTGGGTAATGGCCTTACTGGAATTCATGATAACCATGGGTTTTAACTAGAGGCTGCCAAACTCAATATGCTAACAGTCATACATCTAATTTAGAAGCAGCAGCCAGATGAAGAAGAGCTCTAAGAACAGGAGGGTGTTTCTCTGTCTGCCATCTTTCATCATTCTGACTAGAAGTAGATGTGGCAGTGACTCATCTTCATTTCCTGATGATATCAGACCATTACTGGAGCCGATTAAAATATTTATTGTCTCTGCAGCTTCCTCTGCAGAAAATTCACAAAACACCACACAAATAAATAAATATTTCCCATGCTTCTGTGCCAAGGAAGCTCATCCTTCCTGTAGACAAAAAGCTTCTCAAACTTGTTTAATACTGTGTGGCAGACTCTACCTTAAAAAAGCACATAAAATAATAGTATATTCCACCTGGAGGAGGAGAATATTTGCATTCACATCATGGGCAAATAGTAATTTCCTTTCACTTCCTCAGAACTAATTGTTTTGGATTATGTTGGCTAGCACAGCAACAGCTTAATACAAAACCAAAGTAGGTGCGGCTCTGTCTTCTCAACTGTGTACAAAAGCAATAAGAATATGGAATTGGCATATGCACCATCTGATCATTGTAACAGCAGTTCACATGCCAGGTTTCAAAATGTTTTCACCGATGGTCTAAGCAGTCCTGTTTTATGACCATTTTAACACAAGGATCTCACGTGTGGGCTTCATGACTTATTACAGTTTATACTGCAGTTGATATTCCAGTGCCAGTTACGTATCTGTACATCTACATGCAACCTGATGGAACAAGAAATGTCATAGTGTTTGCTTTCAGATATGATTCATCTCAGTGATGCCTTCCTGGTTCAACGGTCAGGTCAATTAATGTAGACATTTTCATCTGTGCCAGAGAATTCTGAGACAAATCAGGACAGTAATAATCATTGTAATAATTTCCAAATAACTAAGGGATTTCTGGTTTCCACAAGTTAATCAGCTCTCCCACAATGCATCTTTTTCCACCTGCTTCTTAAACTGGTGATGCTTCTGACTCAAGACAAAGATTCAGTATATCATCCCAATTGTCTTTTGCTTCATCCAGTAGAATGGTATTTGAATGGATGTCAGATTTAGAAAAACTCATGCTCCTTACAAGTTCAGTCCATTTTATTTAGCAGCATGAAGAAAGCTACAAGAACGATGTACATATCAAAATAGAAGAAAAGATTCCACACTTGGTACAGTCAACACTGCATTTCTCCTCTGTAGTCAACACGACCAAATGCTCTGGACTATGCAGGTGTTTTCTCAAACTTTATGAGAGTCTGGTTAACATTTGTGCTTTCAATCCCTCAGTTCATGATTCCATTATATTTTCATACGCACTCATAGCAGGTTTCCATAAAGAACTTGTAGGCTGTGTCAAGAGGAGCTCAAAAGTGTGGTATGTGGCGCCACAGACCCATCTGCAGCACCACACACCACACATGCAGGCATTCCCCCTACTGCTACTTTGCAGTGCAGGGGTTTTCTTGACCCAGGAGATCCCAGGGTAAAAAGAACTCACACCAAAAAAAGCGGGGTGATGCACATGGTGGCAGCACATGCCACCCAATACCAGAGCTTGGTCAGCCAGAGCCATGCTTCGGCTGCTGGCCAGGCTCCCTGCTGCAGCTCCTGGAGGCTGCCAGAACCCCGGATAAGGCTGCTGGGGCCAGCACAGTAGCTGGCCCCAGCCTCCACTACCCCACCAGGGTAACCTGCCACGGACCAGAGTGCACATGGCATGGGCGTTTCCTTGAACCTCCATAGGTGAGCCACTGCTATTTGCCTCAGGGAAGCACACATTCCCGCTCGTCTGGATGCAGCCCTAAGGGCCATCTTCATTATTGAAATGAAGACCCAGAGCACACTGGAACCCTTGAAGACTGCTTTGTGCTCCAGAGTTTGAGTGCTTGTCAGCTGATGTGTCTCCTAGCTGGGGGAGTGCATGTTGTGCTCCTGCAGCTGGGAGGTCCAATCAACTGATGGGGTTCTGAGCCAGGGGAACACATGTTGTACTCCTGCAGCTAGGAGCTCTGATCAGCTGACTGGGGTTCCCTGATGGGGGAGTGCATGGTGCAATGGAATCTGATACTTAATCCCCACGATCACACCTCCTGCTATGTGCCATAGCAGGAACTGTGCTTGTTGGGATCATGGATCAGATTCAATAGCACCTTTAATTTAACCTCTGTCAGGGGCCTGTCACCCCAAACCACATTCTAGCTGGGAAGAGATGACATTTAATTTCTTAGATATTTGAAGGATTTTAGAGTTTTATTTGCACAGAACTAAACACTTAAGACAGCGTCCTAATTAATTTGCTATCTAATTGAGAGAATGAAATGGTGCTATTTCTGTTTAAAGACTTGAAATGAATCTCTGGATATACCCAACTTTGTTACAACATCACTAATGTGATGATACTAATGCACATTCAGTCAGAGTCCATGCAGCTTCAGTAGCTTCCCTTGAAAGGTTCCCAGATTGATTTACGTATGACAGGAGTATCAAACTCATCAGGCCACAGGGACCAGATGAATGGCGTGGGGATTGTCCATGGCACAGATTGGGCCCACAGACTGGTCCTGCATGCCAGATCCAACACATTTCATAGACTGACCTGGCCCTCTGCACTGTGTGCATCATGTTGGGGCAATCCAGCATGCACCACATGCAGCGTGTGGGTCAACTCCAACACCCATAGGCATCACTGAAGGCCAGGTGATGGGGTTCTGTTGGCCATATCCAGCCTGTAGACTGTATCTTTGACAGCCCTGATGTAATTGTTGCTGGTAGGTATTGTAGGGCTTGAGTCCTCTCCTACCAGGCATCCTACCTCCTTGCAACATCATAGTGAGTTCTTAAATATAGCATTACTTGCGTGTCCTGTTAGTTGTTCCAGCTCTCCTGCCACGTCTTGATGTTCTTCCTGGGAGACAGACACCTGCAGGTGTCTCATGAGATCTCATGCCTTTGGTTTCTTTGTGGGGCTCCAACCTCCCCTTTACCCTACCCTGACCACATACAGGGCCAGAACAGGCATCGTTGTCTTGGACCTCTCTTTCTCCAGGTGATATCTTCTCACCTGTGCCTCCCGCCATTAGAGAGAGAGAGAGAGATGGTGCCTGGCCATTGGCTCTTCCTTAGCCATTCTTTGACTTGGACTAATGTCCCCATGACTAAGTTTATCACGGCTTTGCATTAATAGAGTTCTTTAAACAGTAACTTAGGAAAAGTAACTTAAAGCTCAACTGATCAGCCTCTGCTGGGATGCACTCATGATTAATGGGTTTCTTGCCATGAGCTGAATTCTGGGGTTCGTCGGCTTCCCACTGTAACCCTCAATTTCAATAGGGCCCTCTCCTGGGTCCCTGTCCCTTTGGCTGCCGAACCTTGGTTTGCCTGCGGAACCTTGGCCTTGATGCTGTCTAGGGCTTCATTCCAGCCTTGACTCTAGGGCCTTGGCCCTTCAGAGGGACTGCTCCCTATTAAGTGGCTCACCACCTGGCTCTGATCAGCTGCAGGGCCATATAGGGCCTCCCTGTCCAGCTTCACGTTGCCTCCTGGCTCCCATCCCTGCTATTCTCCAAGAGGTACCTCTGGGTCCCAGTGCAGTTTGTTCTGGTTGTGCTCTGGGCTCCTCCCTTTTCTCATCCCAGCCGCTCTTCGCCGGGGCACACAGCTGGCTCTGCTCTCTGGGCGAACTGTGCACGGCTTCCCGGCCCCAGCCTTCCGTGGCTGGCAGCAATTCGCCCCAGCTGTGTGCCAGCTTGCTGCCCTCTCTCCACTCTGCCGGGGCGTCTCAGCAGTTCCGCCCCTCTGGTGAGCCGCTCGGAGCCTTTTCTCCCCTGTCTCTCCACTCTTTGCGGCGTTTTCTCAATGCTTCTCACTCCTTCTCTTTTCTTTGCTGAGCCGCAGGCTCAGGCTGCTGCAGAACTGCTGTGCTGGAGCCTGTCATTCCGGCGTCACTCTGTCTGCTGTGTGGAAAGAGGAAAACGAGGAAAACCCCTGTTAGCTTTCTCTTCCTCTCCCATAGTAATGCAGAAATATCACAATTTATATCACTGGTCAGGAAGCCTTGATTTAATCATTGTTTTCTACAAAAGTACATTCTTGTAGTTTAGTGTCCTTTATTCATTTAACTTCTTGAAACTTTACACTTTTAGAGAGAGGTAAGGGCTTGACTCTGTGTACACAGACTTGCAGACAGACAAGAAGGCTGATGGGTAGGTAATCAGTTCTGTTATCTGTCATCTCCATATATTGCTGTTAACAAGGATGTTATCTCTGGAGAGACAAATCCAGAGTTTGAGAACCGAAACTAATGACAGAGATGCTTAATGGGATCTTCTAGACTGAGTCCCATTGGGTAGAGTGTTTTTTTCTTTAATCTTTACTAATTTATAGAGGAGCCTCTGGGAACCCCATAAGATTGGGCCCCTAATATAGTCCATGGCCTGTTGTGATCTATATATATATGAAACTTTTCTAAAAAGGTTACATGAATATATTGTGTCAAATAGTATATAATTAGAAGTTATAATCCCTATTCCATGATTATATTTGAGCTTTAACATATCTTAAATGAAAACTATCTTTATATAGGGTTGTTTTTTTAAAAAGCATCTTAACAAAAAAACTTTTTTTCAATGATTTAAATAAAAAATCCATTAATTTTTTTTTTTAATAGTTGATTTTTATCCATCCTGATTAAGCATGAAGTGGTAGCGTGGTTGAATATAGATTTTAAAAATATTCATGTGGTTCACAACCGGCTTAATTTGCAATGGGTTGGTGAATGATGGATGAACCACACAGCTGATTGCTGCAGCTTTTATTTAAAAAAGCACAGCTTCTCCACCACTCAGCTGAATTTCATCACCAGTCCTGCTCAGCTGATCAGAGAAGCAGGACCTTTGAAATAAAACCCACAACAAACAACAGGAGCTCTTCACCAGTCCCACACAGCTGTTTGCAAGTGGCTGTCTGTACCCCTGGCTGGTTTGTAAACACTAATCTCCACAGGGGACTGTGAAACCTAACCATGCTAAGAATCAGCTTCTATGGTTTATGGAGAGGCAAGGATATTTTTTGGTCATCTTTTATAAGACCAACTGCATGGCTAGGCTCTTGTAATAGGGAAGTATTGCAGTCATTTCTGCAAGCAGTACGCTATCTCGGAGATGACAGTTAATATATCTCAGTGGTACTGTTTAAAAACTGTAATAACTGTAAACGATAGTTTGACCACTTCATTTTGTAAAATTAGTCTTTCTACCCACTTCAGCAAACGCTTCACTTGTGTATATATTTAACCATGTGAGTAGTTCCACTGAAGTGAGTCTGGGGGTGTTTTTATAAGGTGGCAAAAAATATTCATCACCTCTCTGAATTTTAATGAACAGTGCTATGTTAAGCAGTAATAATCCAGGGAATAATTTACTTGTGTTATTTATATTTTTTTGCATTTGGTTAATCAGCTACAATCAAATGTAGCACTTTGAGAATGAAAGTTCTTTGTGGATTTTAGAGAGGATGGATAAAAAAAACTGATAGTGGAAAGTCAGTAGCAATTTTATGAAGCAAGAACCTCCGCTCCTAATTAAATAACTTGTCCTGATTCACTAAGGAAGTCTGGAAAAGAGCAGAGAGTGGAATCCAGATTTCCTGAATTGCAGTCCCAAGACTGTTTTTCTCTCTTATGATGATCAATTGTATAAAAATGTGAGTGTATTAGCCAAGTAGAAGAAAAATAAAATGCATTTAATAATTCATACATTTTAAAGAAAACAAGTCCTGTACATCTTTGCCTTTGCTTAAAGCTAGGTCCGTGATCTTCTAAATGGTTTCTATTGGATGAAGTGCTTACTATTCTGAGTAGTCCCATTCAGTCCCACTGAAATAATAAAATCACAGATTTTAAGGCCAGAGGGACCACTATGATAGTTTAGTCTAACATGCATAATTTGAGCAATAAAATTTCACCTCATAATTCCTATATCAAGTTCATAGATGTTGGTTGAATGACAGCCTTTTAGCAAGCTCTCCAGTATATAGCGCAAGACTTCAAGTGATGGAGAATTGTCTTTACCATAAAAATGTGTGCTTTACTTCTAGTCTGTAGGGTAAATATTTTATTGATGCCATAGTTGAAAAAACTTATATAAGAGAATATTAGTAATGATTCCAATTTTCTTTTTTTAAGGGTAGGGAAAAGGAGAAAGATGATATCGAATATGAGAGAAAAAGTGACATATATAAAGACCTTGTCACATTTTTAAGGGAAAGATCACCTAAATTTCTGGAAAATATGGCTAAACAGGTATGTATGTACTGGTATTATTTTGCACACTGTACTCTGTGTCACTATTGTAAATAATTGTACATTGGTGAAAATAGCACTTTTAAATAATATGAAAGGCATGGATTTTTGGGGGTCATACCTTGTATTGGACAAACTATATAGTTGGGAGGGACATAGACAAGCTTTTGTACTGCTGTACTTTTCCTCAGGTCTTTTTAACTAACTTTGTTCAAAATATAAAAAGTTCATATGAACTATTTGTAGAGCTGCTAGAACCCTGCAGTTTCATTTAAAAAATAGCTGGTAAAAAATCTACTGAACATTTTTAATGTTCTCTACTGTATTTATATATATCCATAATAAGATGCAGAATTTGTAAGAGCATTGCTTATGCTAAGTATATTCCTTTCTTATATCATAAAATTAAAGCAGTGGGAGACTATTTTTACCCTCTTTAGTCCATGAGTAATCACGTGTAAAAATACCTTTTTACTTACAATATTTATACTATTTTGTTTTTCAGTGACAGCTGTTTAATATTTTTAACTATATGAAAGTATTGTAAAACATTGAAATGTTTCAGGTTTGTATGTGTTTGGTTTGTTTTCTTTAACCATTTAACATGTTTATTTACTAACAGAATGGTAAAGCCATTCAGAGAAAGCACTCTCAAGACTCACTGTTGAGCAAAAAAATGTTGTTTTTATGGATCCATACACCAGTTTTCATCATTTGCTTCTATTTGCTTTCTTAAGGAATAGTTGTGGTTTTATGCATAGGTATAAACATATGTGTTGTGTTAGTACAGCAAGTGTTAGATGCCAAGCCCTCAGGAGGCAGAGCCAAAGGGTGCTGATGGAAGTGACATTTTGTTGTGTGATCAGTCCCCTGACAGAAGTACACGGCTGTAGAGCATTTTAAAAATGCCTGATCACACAACAAATTAATCCTCATTACATGAGGTTTCAGATGAAGGCTCTCCAAAGCGGAGTGCTTCATTATCTTCTGTCAGTCCTTGCCCAGGATGTAGCCCAGCCCATGGCCCTGGTGCTGTCTGCATAATGGGAGAAGGAGAAGGGAGAGGAGGGGAGCTGCAGGCTGGGGTTTGCCCAGCCTGTCAGAGGGTGGGGGGATGGAAGGGGTGGATTGGAGCTTGACTTCCGCCCCCCCCCCCGACCAAATAGCGAACTTCTGTTGGGAAGGCAGGGCGAGGAGGGTCACTGTAACTCATGGTACTTTCTGTGAAGCACCATGAGTTACAGCAGGGAGCTGCATATCTGTCAGCACCTAAAGTGATTTGTGTAGGACCAAGTCTTACTAAGCATGTAACCATTTAAATCTCATAATAACGTATACCACTGCAGGTTTTGTTAATGTCATGCATTTCAGTGCCATAGAGCTTTAAAGAGATGCTTCTTTATGCTGTTGTTTCTTTGAGACTATTAACTTGGTTCTCTTTCAATGATAAAAACACCAAGATATGTTTAAGGGGATTAAAAACTGGGTCCAATCATGGGAGTTGTAAAACCCACCTTCCAAGTATAAGACCTGTATCCACAAATCAATTAAAGATCCCCAGTTCAGTATTCTAACAAGCTCTGCCCTGCTTAGTGGTAGCCTGGCTCCAATGGATTCTGATTGGAAACACCTGTCTCTAAGACACTTTTCAAAGTAGTGTTCACCACCACAAAGTAGGGCTCACTGATAAGGTGATATAGCCTAAGCTTTATGCAGAGGACTTGGCCCACTGAATCCAACAACTTGTGTGTAAAATTAGGAGAAAAAGAAAGATGAAAATGAAAAAGGACTAACAATGCTCAGATTTATAAAATGATATTCTAGAGAAATAGAAATCATAAAACAAGCAAAGTTGGAATTATTCATATTATACATGTCTCAGACTCTTATTATCTAATGTCTTTATAGTACAGAACAGTTTTGTTGTAATTAATAATTGCTCATACTTTGGCTTCATCCACAATTAATTTTTCTACAGGTTTTTGTGTCTAAAATTAAAACCCAGTACTTGAAGAAGTCATTTTGTTATAATATGATATCCACCCAGTATGTGAGATCAATTCTTTATTTTACATAAAAAGATTTGTTCATCATCTGGTGTTCTTTATTATGGAGTACTAGAATTTTTAAAGCAGGAAAATATGATATATAAAAATGTTTTTTTACTTAAGTGTCAGAGTTGAGAGGTATGTTACCAGTTTGCACAGCATGTCTAGCCACCATGCTACATAAGTTCTATAATTTAAGAATCTTTGGCTTCTGTTTGGATTTCAATAATAGCTAGAGTAAGAAATACCGTATTTTATCTATTACAATAGCATCCAGTAGTGTCACTATAGTTAAACTTGTTTCATTGTTCCCATTACAAGACCTCCTTTTTAGAATTTCAGTGGTTTATTGCTTGGCAGTAAAATTCATTGCAGGCTGAAACTTGTCAGAAGGCCCAAACTTTTTATGTAGTACCCTTCATCCAAAAAAATCTGAAAGTATTTTTCCCAATATTTTAGGGCAGGAAATAGAAAAGAATGCTGTATCCAACAGAATCTGTACGAGAACTGGGTAGGCTGAATGTTGCTATTTAAATTGGAATTTGGCTAAGACACCCACCTTATAGATTCATAGATTCATAGATGTCAGGGTCGGAAGGGAACTCAATAGATCATCGAGTCCGACCCCCTGCATAGGCAGGAAACAGG